GAAGAAAGTTTGGCAGTTCCTTACAAAATAAAATGTACTCCAACCACACAACTCAGAATATCATGCTCCTTGGTATTTACTCAAATGATTTGAAAACTTATATTCACACAAAAACCCACACACACTTTTATAACAGCTTTATACATCTAGGTTGAAAGCAACCTACATGTATAAAATACAACTAGGTTGCTTCCAACCTAGATGGTAAATGGGTACGAAAACTGTACTATGGACTAAACTGTGTTCCCCCTATCCTGACAAATCCATGTATTGAAGCCCTAACACCCAATATGACTGTATTCACAAATAAGGTCTTTAGGAGCTAAGTTAAATGAGGTAATAAGGGGTGTGGTCCTAATCTGATAGGACCATGGCCTTACAAGTAGAATGAACTGGACATAATTTTCTTATGTTCATATATGAATACATGACCAGTATAACTCCACATCATGTACAAACACAAGAATGGAAGTTATACTCCATGTATATATAATATGTGAAAATAAATTCTACTGTCATGTATAACTAAAAAGAACAAACAAAAAATAAAAAAAAAAATTCTCTCCTAATGACATGTGATAATGCATTAAAAAAGCAGCCATCTGGGCTGGGGTTGTGGCTCAGTGGCAGAGCGCTTGCCTCACACATGTTAGGCACTGGGTTCGATCCTCATAAAAAAATAAGCAAACAAGACAAAGATTTTGTGTCCATGTATAACTAAAAAAATATTAAAGAAAAAAAAGGAAGTAGCCATCTACAACCGGAAGAGAGCCCTCACCAAAAGTGGAGCTTCCCATTTGGAACTTTCCAGCCTCTAGAACTGTGAGAAACCAAAATAATGTTGTTTAAACCACTCAGTCTATGATATTTTGTTATGGCAGCCTCACAGACTAATATACTATGGAACTGATACACTATGATATTTACATACAATGTAAATTTAATCAGTGTGAAAAAATAAGGTATTGCTGAGAGCCACGGCTGAGTCTGTATGGCCCCTGGCATTTTGCCAACAGTATTGATTGACAGGCGAGGCATTACTATCCGCCTCTGCCGCAACTTTTGAGTTCTCGCACTATTTTGGAGTTCTCGTGGGGATTTCCGGGGATTCTCCGAGAGTTCCCATTGGTTGGGGAAGTGCAGGAGGAGGTATTTCCGGGAGAGATTTTCCGGCTGGGGGTTCCTGGACAAGCCTCGTGGCGCGTTCGGGAGGATTCCCCGGGAGCTATGTGAAGTGTTTTCCTGCAGTTTAAAAATAAAGTTTGTTCCTGCTTCAGTGGCTCGTGATTTGTGCCCAGCCAGACTGCGGCAAGGTATCAAGCCACAAGAGACAGGGAGGCACCTTAAATGCATACTGCTAAGTGAAAGAAGTCAATTTACAGAGGTTACTTACTTTACAATTCCAAATATATGACATTCTTCAAAAGGCAAAACTATGGAGACAGTGAAAAGATCAGTGGTTGGAAGGAGAACTTGGGAAGAGGGAATGGGAAAGAAATGAATAGGTGAAGCACAAGGAATTTGGGGGGCAGTAAAACTATTGTGTATGATATTGTAATGATGGTTACTTTCCTTTGGCCATCAAAACTCAAAGAATTAACCTTACATTAAGGTGCGCAGGTGTGGCAGCTCATGCCTATAATTCCAGCAACTCAGGAGGCTGAGGTAGGAGCATCATGAGTTCAAAGCCAGACTCAGCAATTTAGCGAGGCACTTGCAACTCAGTGAGACCCTGTCTCTAAATAAAATTAAAAAAAAAAAAAAAAAGCTGGGGATGTGGCTCAGTGGTTAAGCACCCTAGAGTTCAATTTCAAGTACCAAAAAAAAACAAACCTTAAGTTTAGAATTATTTAAGAGTGAAAGCAGTAAAACAGACACACACACACACACACACACACACACAGTAAACCTTATGAACTTTAGTTAATATTAATGTATCAATACTATTTTATTGTAGCAAAAGTGTTAATCTAATGCCAACATGTTACCAATAGGGAAATTTTATGGAGTAGGGAAGAACTATATGTGCTCAATTATTCTGTAAATCTAAAACTATACTAAAAAAGAAAAAAGACTCTAAAGTACTAGATAAAAATAACTGTGAAATTCAAATTTCAATTTACATCAAGTTTTATTAGAACATGGCCATTCTCACTCATTTACAGATTGTTTGTTTTGTTACTCGGAATTGAATTCAGGGGCACTCAGCCACTGAGTCATACTCCTAGTCCTAATTTGTATTTTATTTAGAGACAGGGTCTCACCTAGTTGCTTAGCACCTCATTTTTTGCTGAGGCTGGCATTTACATTTTTTATGGCTGCTTTTATACAACAGCAACAGAGAGGAGTAGCTACAAGAGACTGCATGATCACAATTGCCTGAAATAATTACTATCTGAACCTTTTCAAAATGTTTGCAGACCTTTGCTCTTAATTTCATTACCCAAGTTAAAAGGAGCAGGGAGCACATTCCATCATGGGCTATTCTGAGATAATCACTTTATTTAATTTATTTAAAGTCCTTAGTCACAAGAAATAGAAATTATCTAATCGGACCTGATTTTTAAAAACCTATCTGGTTAGTTTTGTTTTGGCAAGGGATTGAACCCAGGATCACTTTTCCACTGAGCTACATTTCCAGCCCTTTCTTTCTTTTCTTTTACTTTTTTTTTTTTTCAGATTCACATCAATTTTATTAGAACAAATTCTTTTTTTCTTTTCTTTTTTTTTTTCTCACTAAATTGCTGAAGCTGTCCTCAAATTAGCAATCCTCCTACCTCAACCTCCCAAATTGCTGGGATTACAGGCATGTGCCACCACAACTGGCTTAGCTATATAGCTTCTAATATTTAAAAAAAAAAAATCAAGTATATCAGTAAAGCATTTGAACACCCAAACAACAACTCTCACAGAACAAATCCATATTTACTGAGAAACACTAGCAGATAGTAGTTTTATACTTGAGTGCTTGCAAAAATCTATCCCTTTAGTGAACACCTAAGAAATTAAAGTTTTCAAAGAAAAGGAATTTAAAAAGGGAAGCCTAGAAAACAACGGTAAGGAGAAGCACTCAGGGAGGGGAAGGGCAGGGTACCTAGGAGAAAAAAGTCATTCATCCAACAACAAAGAACTGAATGTTCCATTAAAGAATATTAGAACTAGGAGTCAGGAAAGTGGATTCTGGGTATTAGAACATAAAGTATAACATTAGGAAATATACCCCTAGTTATAGTTTAAGAAATATCATGAAAATATAATATGAACTAGCTGAGAAAACAAATCATAACTCTCTGACATACTGAAGTAGACTTGTTGATAAAAGGCATTGTAGGAAGAATCAAATTTGGAGAAAAAAAAAGTTAGGAAAGCAATATAGGATACAGACTAGGGGCATAAGCTTTCGAGGTAGAGAAGCCTGATTCTGATCCTGCTTCTACCACTCACTAGCTCTAAGTCTCTGAGCACAAATTCTCTCTCAGCCTCAGTTTCCTCATCTATAAAATAACAGTATCTCAGTAAACTATTGTAAGGATTAGATAAAATAATGCATATAAAGAGTTTAGAGGCTTGGGTTGTGGCTCAGAGGTACAGCATTCGCCTAGCATGTGTGAGGCACTGGGTTCAGTCCCCAGCACCACATAAAGCAAAATAAAGACATCGGGTCCACCTATAACTAAAAAATAAATATTTTTTAAAAAGAGTTTAGTACAGTTCTGACAAAAATAAAGTGCTAAATAAATGGTAATTGTTAATGTAACTAATATATGTGGCTTGGGAAAATGCATTGAGAATAAACAGTTTTTCCAGAAATTGTTAGAAAATCTACCCAAAGACTGAAATAAAAATCTCTCATACAATAATTTTAAAGAATGTCTAAAAAAAAATGTCTGCCATCAGAAAATTAAATGAGGACTTCGGTTCAATAAATGGAGTTGAAATTCCACTCACAGAGAACGTTGGTTCAAGGGAGAAAAACAAAATCAGTCTGGTTTTCTCCCAAATTCTAAAGTTGGTGAATGCTGTAGGCCCACTACAGATTCCATTCAGAGCCCTCATAATCCCAAATTCATACCAAAACCCAAGACAGTATTACGTCTTGCAGTCAAATGGAGAATAAATAAGTCATGGTGGCTCGTGCCTATACTCCCAGTTACTTGGTAAGCTGAAGCCGGAAGATCCCACGTTCAAGGCCAGCCTGGGCAATTTAGCAAAATTCTGTCGGAAAATAAAATAAAAAGGGCTGGGGATGTGGCTCAGCGGTAGAGGGCTCCTGGGCTCAACCCCAGGTCGGGGTAAATAGAGGAGCTTCCTTTAAAGACTTACATGACAAAGCTACTTCTCTCTCATTCCCATTATGTTCCATTCCATACTTTCTGACCGTCAAAACCAAACAAAATATCCATACCAAAAAATTCAGACCTTTATCTGGAGAGCAGTTAGGACTGTATCAGTTTATAAATGTATTATCTAGGTAATCAGGGACTCGAGGTCAGGGGCTTGAGTGCTTTGCTTCTCTGTGAAGACAGACTAGAGCCCTAAAAGTAAAAGCTGCGAGATGAGAATTTTTTTGTTACATACACAGTTTTTCAGACACACCGCGCGGACGGACGGACACCCCCCCACACACACACACCACTACAATCATCACCCACATCCCACGGTCTGAGAAAACAGCTTACAGGCTTTCTGGCGGTCACAGCCATCCTGTCCCACGCTTCCTAATCGCCCTCAAAACCATCACCTGGTACTTCCCCAACGGAAACAGTAAAATAAACGATAATAATTCCAATCAAGACAACATTTTGCTCTCACTGTGGCCAAGATAGAAGCCGAACGGTTCTGCTCGACAATTCCAGGGCCATGGTCAGGGGCAACGAGTGGCCTCACTCCCAGGGCTAGGCTCATCCACACCTGTCACCAAGAGTGGGCGGAAGTAGGGAGAAAGAAATCGGTAAACGCGGACTCGAGCCACCCCTGATACATTCGCAGATCCCACTCACCCCACTCTTCATCTGGTCTGTGAGAGAGTCCTGGGCTAAAAGGCGACTCCATGGTGCCGGCAACACCAGCCGGCTCCCCGAAAACACAAGTTCCTGGGTCCTAGAACTCGGTGAGTAATATCTGTGACGGCGGCTGCAAGCGGACAAAATACTCCATACCGCTGACGAGACGGTGGCCGAATGAAGACAAACTTCCTAATGCGGAAAGAGCCAAGAGAAAGTCAGCAAAGCTAAATAGGATCTCTATGTAAATGTTTCTCTTTTGGAGTTTTAACATTTTCTGTTCCCCTATTTTAATGGGGGGCTGAGGGAGGTGAAGGCACGCAAATAGCTTCGGTTAAGTAAGTTGTATCAATAATATTAAAAGTGAAATTTTGCAAAATTCCTTTCTGAACATACTGATTTGTTCTTTCTTATACCATACCCCATGTGTCTCAGAACAAAATTAGAGACTAACCATAAACGCAATTTAGTTTTTTCTTATAATTTTGTATTGATGTAAAAAATTCTCCATATGTAAAAGTGAATAAAAGAAAAGCACAACTATTTTTCCACATTCATTAGAACTGTCTCTACTGGCACAGTATCCGAGGTAAGCGACCCTAGAAAACTATACTTCTAGAAAGTCTACCTTTATGTGAACAAATTAAAGCGAAGTAAATATACAAGATAAACTCCCGTGCCTATAGTTATCTCTAAAAGATGAATTTCTAAAACTACTAGTAAAAGTCCGAGCCGAGCCTATACTAAAACCTGCAATAATGTAAGTTCTTAAACGTTTTATTACTAAAGTGTGAGATTCGGATTTTATTTAAAAGAAACCCACACACATCACGAACTCAAAATGAAAAAAATCAAACTGAATTTGACAGGACAGTTTCAAGAATGCTATTTAATAGTATTTCTTTTTCATCCCTAATTTCAGCCGCTAAAGTACTCTGTCTTAAGAACACGTATCCCTCTAGGACCAAGTGAAATCTTTCCCATGGTTACAAACAAAACAGAAAAGCTTCCCAGAATTCTCCCAACTCCTCGTGGCTGGATGTTACAACAGATTGCAGAAGACGATCAGCCCCGGGGCCCAGGCGGGGGTGGGGTGGGGTGTGGTGATTCAGGAAATACCACTCAAAAGTGACTCTTTCTGTCGTCATGTTACTAACAAGTTTTCATTTAAGGTAAAAATTATAACCCTTTCATTCTGGCACAGATGCACTTTTAAAAACTGGCATAAAAGCGGGGCGGATCATGAACTGAAATGGATTTCCATGCATGTTATGAGTTTGTCGGGATGAACCCAACTACTGTGTACAACTATAAAGCTTTAATTAAAAAATGGCATAAAAATAGTCTTCTGTATCCACCAATCAACTTAATCTTTGAAGAAAATCATAATTGAACTTCAAGCTTTTAAAGAGATTTTTATTTTTTATTCAAAAAGTTTAGGTAATCATGAGGCAAGCATTTCTGTACCTTTCACCAAGAATTAACAAATTTTAACATTTTTCATTTATGTCTCATTTCTTCATAGAAAATATTAAACATTACAGATAAGATTAAACTCTCCTCTACTTGAACTTCTTCCTTCCACATGGGCAACTTCCATCATAAATGTTATAGGAATCATTCTAGTACAATTTTATTTTTGCTTTTACCATGTTTAAATGTTTGTAAATACATACAGAGTCGTGGTTTTGTAAAATTTACACAAATGTATTATGCTCTAATGTTCTCCAAATCACTTTCTCATTTGACATACTTTTTGAGATTCTATCCATGTTTTAACTGTTATGTGGTATTTCCAAATACATATATATCTTTTTCCATTTCACTAATGATGGATACTGAGTTTTTTCAATTGTTTACTATTTATGTAAAATATATTTGTATGGATCTCGTTGTGCATTTTTACAAGAATTTTTTTAACATGTATGCTGGGTCACTTACCAAATAATACCAATTTACATCCTCACTATAAGTGATGAATTTTCTCTTTGCTCCACATTCTTACCAACACTAGATATGGCCAGACTTAACCATTTTTGCCACTGTGAAGGGTGGTACTATAATTTATATTTCCCTGACATTTTAAAAATGGTGTATTCTTTCATATTTATTAAACTTTATTTATTGTTCTGTGTCTGCCCACTATTTTATAAACTTTAATTATTGGGTTTTCTTTCCCTCAATGATGTGCAAATTTTTAGACAGCCTACTGTATTCATTTTATTTATATATACATACAATAATTTATACATATATATATATATATATATACATATATTTTTATATATTATTATGCCTTCTCCCAGATTGACACTTCTTTGTTTATGGGAGTTTTGTCCTCTAGATTTTAATGTAGATAAATTTATCAATCTCTTGATTATGATCTCCACTATTTATATCTAAGAAATTCTTTCCTCTCCCTAGGTCATAAAGGCTTTTATTTTCATTTTTCTTTTTATATTTTTATTATTCTGTTTTTCACACTTTCTTTTTTTCTATTCAATTATTATTGGAATATAGTAACACTGTTTAATTTTATATAACAATCTCATATCTAAAAACCTTAATTCTGGTATTCTAATATTTTATCTAGAAGTTCCTTAGAATTTTCCATTTAGAAGAACTTATATTACCAAACACCAACATTTAAAATTTATTTAACATTTGATTTTATAAAATAAACCTTTAATATGGAAATGTTCAAACACAAGAGACAATATTATTAATCCCCACGTTTCTGTCACCCAGTTTGAACAATCCACTATTCCCTATTTTATCTATCCTCCTTACATTTTTCATTTTGCCTTTTTTTCTCTTTTTTTGGCAGAGAATTTTAAAACAAATCTCACACATTTTATTTTATCAATAAATACTTTATTTTGTGTATCTCTAAAGAGAGAAAGCCTTTTCTTATTTTTCAAAAGAATAGTACCCAACAAAATCAACAATTCTACAATATCATCTAATACCTATTCCATGTTCAATTTTCTGTCTCAAAAATGCTTATTAACAGTTCGTTTGTTAAAAATCAGGATCCAGGGGCTGGGGCTGGGGCTCAGCAGTAGTGCACTTGCCTGGCATGCGTCAGGAGGCACTGGGTTCGATTCTCAGTACCACGTATAAATAAATAAAATAAAGGTCTATCAACAACTTAAAAAAATTTTTTTTTAAATCAGGATCCAAATGAGGTCATCACATTGCATTTATTTTATAAGACAGTTCCTTTTTGCTTTCTTCCCTCCATACCATTTGTTGAAGAATCAGAATCATTTGTCCTATAGAATTTCCCATTTTGTCATTCTGCTGATTGTATCTTCATGGTGATGCTTAATTCTTTCCTTGTCATTTGCATCTACAGACTTGGATAGTTTTTGCTTCAGTTTTTGTTTTTGCAATGATGCATCAAAGCTACTTTCTTGCATCATATCAGGAGGCATATACATACTGTCCCACTTTTAGAGATATCAAGATTTATCAGTGAGTTCAGAATCCCACCCTACCTCCCTTGTTTTATTATAATGACTAAGACCTCTACTAAATAATATTGAGGATAAGGGCAAGTGTAGGCATCTTTTGACTTGTTCCCAATTTTAATTGCATTTCATTTAAAAGTTTTGCCATTAATTTCTTTTCTGTATTTTTCATATACATTGACTAAGGAAGCTTCCTTCCTTTCTAGTTATCAAGCTTTTTAAATTTTGTTTTAAGTTTTGAATGTTACTATTTTTCTTGAATCTATTCCCCATTCTCTTTCATCTTAAACCATTAGAACAGAAATGAAATTTGAAAAAGAACTTTTGTCTAGGGAAGTACCACTCTTTGATGTAACTAAGAGGAACCTCTGTCCTGTACCCATACTTTAGAGACTTAGCTGTAATTTGTGACTCTCTCCTCAGGGTAAAAATCCATGGTACCAAAGTATACACATACATACACACCAGCTCCTCATTATGCAGAACAAAGGATGGGGAGACAAGAGGCAGCCTGTGGATCAGAAGCTAACTCTTTGTATTGTAATGTTTAGTTATAGAACCCCATAAAATCAGAGAATTCAAAATTCAAACCTAGCACTCCAGGTTACTATGAAGATATTTGTCAAGAAAATAAGGGCTGGGACATCAATGTTTATAGCAGCACAATTCACAATAGCTAAACTGTGGAGCCAACCTAGATGTCCTTCAGTGGAGGAATGGATAAAAAAAAAAAAATGTGGCATTTATACACACTGGAATATTACTCAGCACTAAAAAAGAATAAGATCATGGCATTTGCAGGGAATTGGATGGCATTAGAGATTATGCTAAGTGAAGTTAGCCAATCTCAAAAAAAGAAATGCCAAATGTTTTCTCTGATCTTATAAGAGGTGTGACTCAAAGTGGGGAGGGAGGAAGAGCATGGGAGGAAGATTACCTCTAGATAGGGAATAGTGGTGGGAGGGAAAAGGAGGGAGAAGGGGAATAGCAAGGATGGTGGAAGGAGATGGTCATCGTTATACAAAATACATGTATGAAGATGTGAATTGGTGTCAACATACCTTATATACAGAGATATGATAAATTGTGGTATAAAGGTGTATTATGAATTGTAATGCAAAAAATAAATAAGAGAGTTCATGTATAATGGCATAATTTGGCGTGAACATACTTTATAGAGTTACAAAAAACTGTGCTGTGAATGGATAATTATGAATGTAATGCATTCCACTATTGTCATGTATGTAAGAAATACATTTTAAAAAGAGAATGTAAAAGAAAAAGAAAATAAGGGATAGAGTTGTGGCTCAGGGGTGGAGCACTTGTCTAGCTTGACTGAGGCACTGGGTTCGATCCTCAGCACCAGCTAAAAATAAAATAAAGGTATTATGTCCACCTACAATTGAAAAATAAATGCTTTTTTAAAAAAAGAAAACAATTTATGTTGAGTTAGATAGCTTGGTTTGTAACTTTAAAGTGTTAAGGCAAATAATATGTAAGCCTCAATTTTGTACTCTCATGGGAATTCTACAAATGTTGGTGGGAAGCCTGATGGGTGAATTTACAATTCAGTTAAAATTGCATTCCATCAGTCTACTAGATTTTATAATCCAATTTCCAGCATGACTTCTTTGAGACATGTACCACCCTGAACTGTGAACCTAGACATTAGAATATAGAGGTTAAAAGCTCAGATTCTGGAGCCAGTCAAGTTTTGATTCTAAACTAGGTTCAGCTATTTGTTAGCAATCATAACTTTGAGGAAATGACTTAAATCATTGTTAGCCTCAATTCACTTTTAAAATGAGAATAGGATCCATCTCATTGGGTTGTTGTGAGGTTTAAGTCAGGTAATACACATGAGTGCTTAGCATAGTAACAGGAACATGGTATGTGAGTGATAGCTTATTTAAGACCACTACTATTGCTAGGCACTGCACTTTTTTTTTTTTAATCAGGTGCTAGGATTAAATCCAGGGTGTTCTATCACAGAGTTGCATCCCTAGCCTTTCTTTTCAAATTAATGTATTTGAAAAAAAATTTTTTTTTTAAATTTTGCAGTACTGGGTCCTGGACCCAGAGGTACTCTACGAGCTACATCACCACCCCCCACTTTTTTTTTTTTAATTTTGTGACAAGTTCTCACTTGTACTTGTCACAAGTGAGAAGACTGCTCTTAAACTTGCAATCCCCTACTGGGATTATAGGTGTGTGCCACTAAGCCTGGTTTACACTAAGTGCATTACATCACAAAAATCCTCATATTGACCAGATGTAGATACTATTATCTCCATATCATGTAAGAACAAATTAAAGCTAGTGTAAATGATTTTCTGAACAACCATGTCAAATAGGCAGAGTACTTACTAATCCCACTTTGTGGAGAAAACTGACCCACAATTTACAAAGACCTGCTCACTTTCTGGAAGATGTGATCAGCAGAGCCAGAATTATTAGAGTATGCTCTGACTTCTATGTCAGCACTATCTTAACACATCACCTCTGAAATAATTGACTAATATTGTTGTTTCCAACAAATGTGTAAATTCAAATGTCCTAGATTGTTATTCCTAATCAAAAATAAAGAGCCCTTTTTATTTTGTTTCTCTAATGAACAAATATGTAAGATTTTTTTTTTTTACCTCCCAAAAGTAAAGCATTAAAACACTCTAAGTCTGAAAACTTTGCTCAAGATGTTTCACAAAATTTCAAAATTTACTATCCCCAAATCATTCCTCACTGGCAAATAAAATTATTACTCAAAAAAGTATCATTTTGTCCAGTTGTCCCAGATGGAATACATGTTGTAAGAAAGTGGGGACTTTATCTGGTTTATTCACTGGATCACCTACAATTGTGCACTTATTACATTCTCAACAAATATCTGAATTAATAACTATAAATTCAATAAAATCCACCTCATACTCTCCTTGCTATATGCTATGCTGAAGAAAGGATAAGCATTAAGTTGAGCCATGTAAATCTGTAGCTATGACTGTGTGTGTGTGTGTGTTTTACTGGGGATCAAACCTAGAGCCCTGCACATGCTAGGCAAGCACTCTACCACTAAGCTCCATCCCCAGATCTATTTGATAACTTTTCAACTACAAAAGGAGCCATTTCATATGGGTCAATGTGCTTTTAAGAAACTTTTAAAGGTTTAATAATACAAAGAAAAAAAAAAAGAACCAATTTTGTGAAAGCTAAAACATAATTGGAGGAATTTTTTTCTCATAAGGAAGTTGCCAAAGGCTGGATCTTATATTGAGATTTTTCACAAGAATCATCAGGGACACTCCCACACAGGTCAAAGATTAAGGTGGGCATTTTAAAAGAGGCTTACTATTCACATTTTCTATTAAATTTTAAAATTACTTCTATTTTGGCATTTATTATACAGACATATGTGCACATAGCAAAAATGGGTTTTGGTTTTGTTTTGCAATGCTGAGGATTAAACCCAGGGGTGTTTTTCACTGAGCTACATCCTCAACCCAATTTTTTATTATGATACAGGGTCCACTAAGTTACCCAGGTTGGCCTCAAACTTGTGATCTTCCTATCTCAGCCTCCCAAGTCTCTGGGATTACAGGTGTGCACCACCATAACCAGTTTAAGCAGAATGTTTTAGACCGTAAATAAAGAAAATATCTTATAAGCACAGATTCTTTCTGATTTCATGTAAATGTTCAAATATCTAATTAAGTCCAATTTTAAAAATTAATAATGAGTAAAATAAATTCTAGTTTCTAGAGATCAGATTAAAAAGCTAACCTAGACAACAGGTTACTTTTTCCAGTATTCAAACATGCTGGGCTAAAAAAATAATTGCTAGTAAGGTTCAATAGCACACATATATAATTCCAGGTTCTCAGAAAGCCGAGGCAGGCGGATTGTTAAGTTTGAAGACAGCCTGGGTGAGATCCTGTCTCAAAATAAAAAAATAAAATATAAAAAGGACTAGGGAGCGAGGCGCAGTGGCACCCACCTAGCTACTCAGGAGGTAGGTTTACTAATATCATCCATTAAAAGAAAAAGAAATACTTTTCAAAATACGTCCAAATATACCTACTTTACATTACTGGAAATAACAGTGTATCTATGTGAACATATCAGTTCTTAAATTTTATACATAATTTTGTCCATCCAGACCTTAAGATCATATAACCAACATACCCCAAATCAGAAATTTTTAAAATATATGAGGTGCTGAGGATGTAGCTCAGTAATAGAGTACTTATCTAGCATGTACAAGGCCCTGGAGTTGATCTTCAGCACCACTAAATAAGTATATAAATAAATAAATTCTATATGAAACAAAGAACATATCCAGGTTACAAAAGACTTTAATATCAAGTCAAATAAAATTTCCATGATTAAAAAGCTTTGATTTCCATGTAAAGTATTCCACCTATGTCATGTAATAAGCTAACAAAGTATAGTTTCCATGTTACATCAAGTGATTTTATCTTCTCACATTCCAAATGAAATACTGGCCTAAAAACTGCCATAAATGATAATAAGCAAGGGTGGCACATATCACCAACAAATTTCTTTCCAAGCAAGTTCATAATTTTCTTGTTTGTGATCCCAAAACTGGCAGCATTTTCATTTCATCCACTCTATTCTTATGTATTTGAAAGGCAGGTGTTATCCATCTACCACATGAGCACTGTTCACCATACCAATTAAAGGATCCCAACTTGGCACTGCATTTTGGGCAAAGAAGCTGAAATAAAGCAAATGTGTTACTTCATTCATTCATTTTTATATTAAATAAATACCTTTGGCAATTCAATAAATAGAAATAGATAAGACACGGTTCATATCTTCAAAGAGTGAAATTATTGCATAAAAGGCTTTTTTGTGGGGGAGAAGGGTAGTACCAGGAACTGAATTCAGGGGCACTGGACCACTGAGCCATATCCCCAACCCTATCTTGTATTTTATTTAGAGATAGGGTCTCACTGAGTTGCTTAGTGCCTTGCTTTTGCTGAGGGGGGCTTTGAAGCATAAAAGGTATTTTGTACTAAGGACAAACAGATGAATTTCAGGTTGAAGGAAGAAGCTTTAGACTCGATAAGAAGTTTTTTGTTGCTGTTGTTTTTAGTACAAGAGATTAAACCTAGGGGCACTTAACCACTGAGCCACATCCCTAGCCCCTTTTATTTTTTTATTTTGAGTCAGGGTCTTACTAAGTTGCTTAGGGCTTTGCTTAGTTTCTGACGCTGGCTTTGAACTTGAAATCCATCTGGTCATTAGGAAATTATGGATGTGACATATATGGCTTTTAACCAATTTGCGATTTAAGATTGCAAATAAAAACATCTTGGCTAAAGGACAGAAAAACCTGTTAGGATTCTCATGTTCTATTACTAATTGATATGGACACCATACAAGTCAGATTTCTGACTATTTAAATACAAGTTAATGTTCCACTAAAACAAAAAAATCCAAAAATTCTTAACAAGTCAATTATAGTTTCTCTAATGTGGTCAGAGCATTGTTGTTGTTGTTGTTATTGTTTAGTGCTTTAATTTATGCATAGTATGATATAAGGATTCTTATTTTAAATCTTGAGCTACAGAAAATCTAGACATAAAACTCAAACTATAAGTGAAAAAAACTGACAGATTTGATTACATAAGTTTTAATATGACAAAATATACCATAAAGTTGAGATAAGCAACAGACTGAATAAAACAACTGCTGTATATTAGATAAACCATTCTGTAAGAGTATATACAGAGCTCCAACAAACCAGTAAGAAAAAGACAAAATTACAAAAAAATAGGTCAAGGATAGGGAAACAATTTACAGGAAAAAAGTACAAATACCTGGTAAATACATAAAGATATTGGTCCTGTGTAGTAGTTATAAAAATTCAAAATAAACATTTTAGTATTGACATTTTTCATCCTACAGAATAATAAAACTTTACCAATTTTATAATATCATGCCAAGAGTATGAAGAAATGGGTAGGTGCATTCACTTATTGAAAAGCACGTTTGTATGGGCATTTTGAATGATAGCCTGCAATATTTCTAATATTTTAAATGGACACAGTTTTCAAGTCAGAAATCTATTGCCAGGTATATATTCTAGAGCAAATTCAAATATGTATACAAAAAAGTATACACAAATGTGATTTATAACCTTTCATAAAAATGTCTATCTGTAAAATTGTGGTATATATGTGTAAAAGAATTATAATGGGGGCTGGAGTTGTGGCTCAGTGGTAGAGTGCTCACCTAGCATGTGTTAGGCCCTGGGTTCGATCCTCAGCAGCACATAAAAATAAATAAATAAAACCAAAGGTATTGTGTCCAACTACAACTAAAAAATAAATATTAAAAAAAAAAAAGAATTGTAATGCAAAAAAAAAAAAGTACATGTATAAAGGCATGAATTGCCATGAACATACTCTAAATACAAAGATATGAAAAATTGTATTCTATATGTGTAATAAGAATTGTAATGCATTCCGCTGTCATGTAGTTTTAAAAAAATCAATAAAACTAAAATAAAAAGGAAATCATTATTGATTAAAAAAAACAAAAAAAATGTCTTTATCTGTATGTATGTTTTTCAGGCTAAAGGAGCAAGCCAAAAGTACAAAAGAGAAAAAGAAAATTTGGATTTCATTAAAACTAAAAAAAATCCCATGTTAAATGTGTTTATGAATGTCAAAATGAACCCTACTATTAAATATAACTATAATACATTAATAAATATACACTAAAAAAAGAAAAAAAAACTAAAAAAATCCAACCAGTGCAAATAATACAATCAAGAACAGGAAGTGAGGGGCTGGGGTTATGGCTCAGTGATAGAGCACTTGCCCAGCACATGTGAAGCATTGGGTTCAATCCTCAGCACCACACAAAAATAAAATAAAGGTATTGTTATCCATCTACAACTGAAAAAAAAATTAATAAATGAAAAAAAAAAAAAAGAGAAGTGATTGTAAATAGGTACATTATTTTGAGGGTAATGAGAATGGTGATGGTTGAAAAAACTCTCTAAACATAGTAAAAACTATTATACACTTTAAAAAGGTAAATTGTATGGTATATGAGTTATACCCTAATAAAGCTTTTTTTTAAAAAAAAAAAAAAAGGTTACCATGTTTTAGGGAAGGCTTTCACAAAATAGCTGTTACACAAATTCTTTCGAACTTTTATAAAAACCATACACCTTTCAAATTCATTAAGATTATTACATGGGGCTGGGTTGTAACTCAGTGGTACAAAGTGTACACATACACACAAAAATACTATAATCATTCAGGATAACCTTTAGAATAACAAAGGAGAAATATGGCTGCCAAAGAATGTTCAGGAGTTGCACTGTTTAACACGAAGCGAAAAAGAACCTCATAGCAAACACACTAAATTGAAAAATTAGAGAAAATAGATGAACCCAACAGAAAAAGAAATTTTAAACCTAATTTTAAAATCCTGACTTACCCTAATTGTTACAAATTGTGTCACATATATTCTAGACAGTTTACAAAATAAATAACATTAGCTTTATATTTGGAGAAATTTTAAAAAATAGCCTTAAAAGGAATCTAATAATTTAAACCAGTGGTTCTCACATATGTTTCATTATTTCAGATCAGCTGGTATTTTAAAAATACTTTATTTGGGGGCTATGACTCAGTGGTAGAGTGCATGTTGAGCATGAACAAGGCTTGGGTTCAATTCCCAGCATCAAAAATAAATAAACAACTTTATTTTTGATAGCCTTACCTACACTAGAAAGGTACAGAAAGAAAGGCATTAAGATGGAGTAAAACACTGGTTAAAATATGGCTAAAAATGCCAAAATGAACACAATATAAATGATACAATGAAACTATAGAAAATAAAGTGTGTTCTCACCTGCCCATCCATCACTCCCAACAAAGTAGATTCCATCCACTGTACAGGTTCAATGAAATAAGATGTACATTGAGCCTGATTCCCTGTGGCAAGCATGCAAGATGGTGTCATTCTCTTGTGGGCAAAGGCTACAGGCCTACTTCCTTCGTTATGATCCAAAATGCTAGAACTTCGAAATAAGGATCGCCTGCAACCCCAAAGAAAGAAAAACATTAATGACTTCCAAAATGATGAAAAAATAGTTGAAATGTGCAGTATTTCTTAGAGGACAAAATAATATAACACTGATGATGCTACTTAAACTTTCAAGAGCTCCTACAATATGATTATTTTACTTCTACTTTTTTTAAGGTTGGTTCCCTCCCATCTTATTATTTATTTATTTATTGGGAGGTGGGGTTCTTTTTTTTGTCTTTTTTTTTTTTTTGGAACTGGGGATAGAACCCAGGGCTTTATGAAACAAGGCAAACACTTTAGCACTGAGCTACATTCCAGCTCTACTTTTACTTTTAAGAAGTTATATCCTGCCGGTTGCAGTGGTGCACACCTGTAATTCCAGCAGCTCTGGAGGCTGAGACAGGAGGATTGCGAGTTCAAAGCCAGCCTCAGCCAAAGCAAGGCACTAAGCAACTCAGTGAGACCCTGTCTCTAAAGAAAATACAAAAAAGGGTTGGGGATGTGACTCAGTGGTCAAGTGCCCCTGAATTCAATCCCTAGTACCAAAAAAAAAAAAAAAAAAAAGATTTGAGCCACATCCCCAGCCCTACTTTTTATCTTATTTAGAGACAGGGTCTCACTGAGTTCCTTTAGCGCCTCACCGTTGCTGAGGCTGGCTTTGAACTCTCCTCGATCCTCCTGTCTCAGCCTCCCTGGCCTCTGGAATTACAGGCCTATGCCACCGTACCGAGATAAAATTATATCCTTTTGAAAGCAGATTTGAATCAGAAATATATAGTTTCAATTAGACAAATTCTTCCTATTTTATTAGAAAATAAAACTTTAAGTACTTTTTAGCTACTAAGACAAATTCCCAGAGCATACAAAATATTTTACCTGCATTTTCTACATTTGTAGAGAACTTCATCTTTTAATCCTTGTGAAATGGTAGTTGGGTCAACAGCAAAGAGTTCTTGAGGTAAATTTTGCAGTTCTATACGACAAAATTAAAAATGGATCCATCTGTCAAAATCAACTCTGCATTTTCAGACAAAATTTAAGTAAGGTCAAATTGAGGCAACAAGGGCAAAACACAGAAATTTTAAAAACAAACAGTGTTGGGAAATCAGGATAGGGTGAGAGAGTACATGAGAAAGACTGTTGGTGGTTAGACAGAACTGCCTAAATTCAAATCTCAGACTTGACATTTATTAACCATGGGCCTTGCATAAGTTATTACTAGCAAAACATAGTTTTAAAAGAAAACAACAGTACCTGCTTGCAAGATTGCTGGAAATGTGAAATAATGCATTTGTGTCCAAGTAAATGACATCTGAAAAGAATCCAATGTATATTAGCAATTATTATTTACCTGGATACTTCTCTGTAACCTTTTGTAAGCGATACTGCTTATAAATTGCACTAGAGGTATCCACTTCATATCCCATTGCCTGGTATAATTTCAGTTGATATTCAAACCCCTCATTCATCCTGTGATGACAAATAAATAAAAAAGTTCAACTTTCTTTACGTGAAACTACATCACAAAAGCAGAATTATTACTATAACAAAAAACTCACTTAGCTTCAGGTTTGAGAGTCTGTAGATTTTCATAGGCTTTTTCAAAGGTAAGATGGTCAGTCTTCATCAAAAAAGCAGTCACTATAGCAACACTTCGACTGATGCCTGCATGGCTGAAAAAGAGACCTTCAAAATAAAATAGCAAATAGCAACAATTAAAAAAAAAAAAAAAAGACAAAGCCCAGCCCCCTATTGATGGTTAAATTCAGGTTGTAACTTCATGTCTACTTATATTGAAATAAACCCATTGACTCTGAAATACTACCAATGTACAGAAGAGTTTTTTTATTTCCTTATTCCTTCAGAATTCTGAACCATATGAATGTATTACTTATTCAAAAATAATTACCCTAATTTTAAAAGCTTTGGTAATTACTCATGCACAAATCCATGCTCCTTTGCTCTTTACAATTCAGATCAGGTACCAGATTTCTTCCAATATCATCACTACTTGGGTCCTTTATATAAATAATTAGAAGTGCTGGCACACAGTAAGTGCTCAATAAATTCAAACTACTGCTACTACACTTCAATTACGCCAAACAAGACTACTCAGGGATTTCCAAATACCTATCAAGATTCTCTATATTTTTTTTCTTTGTTGCAACATTACTCCATCAATCTTCTAGGCAGGGCCCAAGGATCCTTTAGATCCTAACCAATTTTCCCCTTTATCAACCATCCTCCCTCACTCCAAACAAAGCATCAAAAATAATCTGCTCTTGGGGCTGGGGGTGTGCTTAATGGTAGAGCACTTGCCTTCTATGCCAAAGACCCTGGGTTCCACGCCAGCAAATCAACAACAAAAAAACCTCTTTGACCTACCTTATGTGATAGATCATAAGACCTTCCTTCCAGAAGGGGTCCTGCCCAATACCTCAGAGAAAGGACTGCCAGAGAGAGAGACCAAAAAAAATCCAAATACAGGCCTTGGTGGATTTCTCCTCTCAGTCTATTACAGTAAGTCATACCCCTTTTGTCCAATTTCTTTTCTACATGGATGTTTATTCTTAATTGAATCCAAGCATTTTTTAAAAAATGAAGTTTTCCCTCAGTCTTTGGATCTTCATTTCTGAAGGCTCCATGTCACTTATATTTTAATTAAGTAAATCTGTTATGCTCTTCTCTGGTTAACCAGTCTTTTGTTACAGATTGTGAGTGACCCTTAGGATGGAGAACAAAGGTGTAACACCGTTCGGAACTGGTACGTCTGGTTTGCGGTCTGGTTTGCCTTACAATCACTCGGGTGGGCGTCTAACCTGTACTGCAGAACTGTAAACCCTTTAAGGTGTAAGGACTCTGCCATTTATCTGATGATCCCCGCCCTCCAAAACAAAATAAAACTTGGTGGCTGCAAAATGAACCAACCAAAACATGATTCAGGGGCCCATTTCCATCCAGATCCTTCCTCTTTTTGAGACACAAGTCTACGGGAGGGAATGGGACAAGGTTGTTGTGGAATGACAGCCCCTCGCCTCTCCTGGAGACCTCTGTGAAAAGGGGTGATGGGGCTAAAGTGAGGCGGGGCACCCTTCCCCTACCGACGAGATGACTTACCAGTGCACCAACACCGCACGGCCCTCCGAGCGGGCCTGGCTGATGAAGGCCACGCACCGATCCAGATGGCTGAGCAAGTCGGTCTCGGGTTTGTCCAGGGCTGGCACGAAGAGGCTCCGTAGACCTTCGAACCCAACCCCCTCCTTGAAACCAGGTTCTGAGTCCACCGTCAACACGGCAGAGATGCCGGCCTCCTTTAAGTGATCCGGCTCTGCGACTGCCGCCGCCCCACCCAGGTACAGCCCAGGCCGCACTTCCAGCATCTCCCGGGCTGAGCTGGTTCCGCTCGCGTGCGGAATCCCGCTCCCGCAGCCATGGCTCGAGCCCTCCTCTGCCAACATGGCGGCGCCCAGAAGCCAGGCGGCTGGAAGCCCTACCACCGAGTAACCGGCCGGCTAGAACGTCCTTCCCCCGAGGCCCAGCTGCGCCCGCAACTCGGCGGCTCGGTCGGAGGACCATGCCCACAGTCCGCTTGTAGACTTAAGCTCCAGCTGAGCCGGTGCTCCTTTCAGAAGCAGCCCGGTGACCCCTGTTCTCCTACCATCCGAGCGTATTGTAAAGGACAACCTTCCCCAAATACAGGGTAATCTCAGGCTGTTTGTCTTGAGACTAACAGGGAAGGGGCAGCAGAGGCAACTGAATTCAAATTTTTAGTGAAGGGCCCATCAACTTAATCAGCAGCATCCTTTCATGCATTTGTAATAAAACGTTTTTTTCAATGTTTAAGAAGCCACTTGTATTTCTCCTCTTGTGATTATTCCTATCCTCCGAAATTTTGATTTTGATTTGGGTGTAAATCGTGTTTATTATTATGTATATTTTGAAGATATCAATCTCGTGTTTTTGTCAGAGCTCTTAGTCAAAGACTATAAAGAAGCACAAATTAAGTTGGTTTTATTATTGGACTATGAACTATGGAGAATTTCAGGGTGTCTTTGTCAGAGATGCTACAGAGATCCTATTGTAGGATTTGGGCTTTTTATTAGGTGATTCTGCAGAGGATTTAAGAAAGCAGGGTTTTGCTCTAGACTGGAAGCCATCAGAAAGCAGGGATGATTCTTTGGCTTAATGAATCTTCTTCTAGGAAAGTGTTAAGGTTTGGATGTGAGGTATCCCCCAAAATCTCACGTGTGAGACAATGCAAGAAGGTTCAGAGGAGAAATGATTGGGTTGTAACAGTCTTAACCCGAACAGTAAATTAATACCCTGATAGGGATTAACTGAGTGGTAACTAAAGTGGTAGGATGGACTGGAGGAGATGGGAATTAGAGGTGGCTTTGGTATATATATATTTGTGTATGAAGAGAGGCGCCTGCCAAGTCTTCTGATCACCATGATATGAGCTGCTTCCCTCTGCCATACTCTCCTGCCATGATGTTTAGCCTCACCTGGATTCCTGAGGAATGGAGCCAGCCTTCCATGGACTAAAAATTCATGAGCCCTCAAATAAACCTTTTTCCCTCTATAATTGTACTGGGCCAGTCCTTTAGTCACAGCAGAAAAAAAAAAAAAAAGCTGTAATTGGTCAAGTAGCAGTTATGGTACTGGCACAAAGACAGACATACATACAGACCAAAAGAACTGGATAGAGAGCCCAAAAACAAACCTTAACACATATATAATCAAATGATCTAAAGGTGCCAAGACCACACAATGGGGATAGTCTCCTCAACAAACAGTGCTGGGAAAACTGATAACCATATGCAAAAGAAAGAAGTTAGACTTTTACCTTTTACCATATTAAAAAAAAAACAACAACAACCTCAAGATGGATTTTCAAGGCCAAAAGATATATAATTCCTAGAAGAAAACATAGGAGGAAGGCTTCATGGCATGGGATTTAGCAATGATTTCTTGGATATGATATCAAAACTATGGCAACAAAAGCAAAAATAGATAATTGGGACTACATTAAACTTAAAATTTTTTGCACATCAAAGGAAACAATGGAATGAAAAGGAAACCAATGGAAAGGGACAAAATAATTGCAAAGTATTTATCTGATAGAGTTGGTATTCTGAACATATAAAAAAAAACTCAAAAAACAACAGAAAAAAGCAAGTAACCCAATTTTTTAAAAAAGAAAGAAAATGTTCAAGAGATCTGAATAGACATTTTTCTAACAAATGCCCAGCAAGCATATGAAAAGATGTTCAATATCACTAACCATTAGAGAAATGCATATGAAAACCACAATGAGATATCTCACACCCACTAGCATGACTAGTATTTTTTAAACAAATAAACCAGAAAATGGGAGAGTTCGACAGGGACATGGAGAAATTGGTACTTTTATGCATTGCTGGTAGGAATGTTAAATGGTGCAGCCAGTATAGAAGGCAGTGTGGAAATACCTGAAAAAATTGAAAATGGAGTGATGATATGACTCAGCAATCCTACATCTGCATTTACATCCAAAAGAATTGAAAAATAGAATCTCGAAGAGATATTTGTATGTTTATATTCATTGCCACATTGTTCACAATAGCCAAAGATAGAAACAATCAAAATGTTGAAGAAGTGATGAATGGATAAAGAAAATGGGATACACACACACACACACACACACACACAATGGAGTATTATTCAGGCTAACGAAAAGAGGGAAATCCTGTCATATACCATATTGTAAATGAACTTTGAGAACATAAAGTAAATCAATCACAAAAGGATATATATTATATGATTCCACTCTTGATATATCTAGAGCAGTCAAAATCATGGGAGGGAAAAATAGAATGGTAGTCGACAGGGAATGGGGAGAGAAGGAAGTTAGGAGTTGTTTTTCCATGAATATAGTTTCAGTTAGGAGTTGTTTTTCCATGAATATAGTTACAGTTCTAGAGATCTGTAACACAACATTGTAAGTATGACAAAAACCTCTGAACTGTACACTTAAAAAATGGGTACGAGAGTACATTTTATGTATACTTTATATTTACAGGGAGTGTTTTACAATTAAAAAGAAAAAGGAAAAGTCAGTTATTTTAGCCAAGCTAACTGTGTGTTTGGTGTTTTGTGCTTTGGTGGATGTTCTTTTATCTGTGTCCAGATGAAACTACAGAGTGGTCTTGTTTTTGTCTTGCTCCATCATAGTCTCATAGTAGTCCTTGTTTGATGATGTTTTATGAAATTGTTTATGTTTGGCAGGAAAACGAAAACACCTAACTGTGAGTTCCTGACCAAGTTTACAACATCAAAGAAGACCTGTTTCATAGTATCAGACCTGCTCCTTGGTGCTAAGGTTTACTTTTTCTCTTTCATATAAATAACTTCATTATTTTCAAAGAGTATCCTTGAGGATCCAGGGCAGAGACTTTTGAGCCCCATACAAATGGAGGAAGGAGCAAATGCTTCTGCTTGGAAGAATAGTACCTCAAAGTGGGCATCCTATAGGGATGAGTGGTATTTCTCCCTACCTACATGCAGACTGGGAATTCTTGAAGGGTAAAGACATTGCTTTCTCATCTTTTATCCCCCTCAGATTCTGGGCTAATGTTGATGACCTTTGTGAATGTCACTTTTGTCAATGTTAGAAATGGAAGGAGAAAAGAGTGCCAGACAGGACCCTGTGCAGTTTACTCTCAACTCCATTTCTTCCTCATCCCAAAGACTTTAGCCAAGAGAATCATTAGTGGCTTTGTCTGAAGAGTCATATTAGCAGTCTTCTGGGCCCCTTGTTGAACTAACCCAACTTTTCTCACTTTAAAATCCTGGAATGTTATAATACAAGGCACTAAGGCAATATATAGGAAGACAGGATCCATCCCTAATTTAAGGGAATAATCCAGGATGACTTCCCAGAGGAAGTAATATTTGATCTGCATTTTGAAGTTCAAGATCTATCAGGCACAAAGTCCAGAAAGCTCTATTAAAGGGTAAATGTGTTATTGGGGTAGGAGGAAGAAGAAGAATTCAGATGGTGTTCACGGTTGTCTACAGGACACTGGAAAGACAGGCATGCCCAGATTGTGAGGGCAACATAAGCTTTGCTAAGTTTTAGCTTTTTCTTAAAGACTATACAAACTATTAAAGAAGTTCAAGCAATAGAATAACACAATTTGATTTGCTGTCTAGAAAACAACCCTGACCACACTGTGAGGAATGAGTTGGGGAACGCAATTCTAGAGGCAGAGTTCAGTTAAGAGATTGGGGCAATAATTAAGTCAGGTGTGACAAGGGCTTAGGGTATTAGCAGAGAGAACAGAGAGGAAGAGGATGTTTAAGAGCTATTAAAAAGGTGGACACACCTGTAATCACAGAGACTTGGGATGCTGCAGCCAGGAGGATAGCAAGTTAAAGGGCAGCCTGGGCAACTTAGCAAGACCTTCTCTTAAAATAAAAAGTAAAAAGGGCTGGGTACATATCCCAGGATTCAATCTCCAGTCTGAAAAAAAAAAAATAAGGGAAGTAAAAGGAACCCACAAAGGAAGTTGAGTCATAGCCAAAGAGATAATGAAAAAAAAAATAGTATCTCAGATGTAAAGAATGAGTCATATCACATAGAAGTCAAATAAAGTGAGAACTGAAAGCCCCCACTGGATTTAACAATTACAAGATCTCAGCATCCCTAGTGAGAGTAGTTTCAGTCAGTTGTTGGGAGTAGGGTTGGGGAAAGGGAACCTTGTTTCAGAGACCAATAAGGAACTGGGAAGCAGACACATGGGAGCAGAGAGTGTGGACTAGTCTTTCAAGAGAAGAAAGATGAGGCCACAGCCAAAAGGAAATGTGAAGTAGAGGGAGGTGTTTCTTTCTTAAAAATAGATATAGATATGACAGGTGAGTTTTTTTTTTTTTAAGTTTCAGTAAAGTACCAAAATAGATGAAGAATTTAAAGATATAGGAGGAGTACTTGAACATATCATTTTCCTTTTTTGTTTGTTCCTTTCTTTTTTCCCCCAATGCTCAAGTGGAGATAAAACCCAGGGCCTCATGAATGCTAGGCAAGCCCTCTACCTCTACATCCCTAGTCCATGGGTCCTACAAAAAATTGAGGAATATGGTGTGATTGCGGTGGAGATTAGCCTTTTCTATGGTAACCACAAGGAAAGGTAGAAAAGAATGGGTGGAGGTGCAGGGAGACTCAGTGGTTTGGTGATAGTTAAAGGCATTCTTTTATGATGGTTCCTATTTTCTAGCTAAAAAAAAAATATCTAGTTTATATGAGAGTGAGGATGGAGGTTTGAAAAAAACAGATTGAGGAAAACTTGTGCAAAGAAAGCAAAGAACACATGTGGAAACTGATAGGTGGGAACTATTCAGTGTTTAGATCAAAAACATCAGAGACATCTAAGTACTTTACATATCTGTAATCCCAGATACTAAGGAAGCTGCGGTAGGAGAATCACAAGTTCAAGGTCAGCCTGGGCAACTCAGTGAGATCCTGTCTTAAAATAAAAGTATATGGGGATATAGCTAAGCAGTAGACTACCTCTAAATTCATTTCTTAGTATTGAAAAAAAAAAAAAATCAGAGGCATTGTGCAGGAAAGGATCAATTCTGGTTGTTCAAGACCTGCACATTCCTTTCAAAGAAAAGCCTGTGTTCAGGAAGACTGGCCCTGGCCCACCTTCTTGGGCCACACTGTCAGTTTAACTAGATATTATGGGAAGCCATCTGTAAAATGTGTGAGGACCTTTGTCCCTCAGCCAGGGAAAGGATAGGTCTAGCATTGGGAATTTTCTGTGGCACTCCCATGGAGAGAAACCACTCAATGCATGTGACCTTCCCCTCCACTCTGCTAGAAAGGTCCTGCACAGCAGTACTGGAGATGGGTGTAACCCACTAGGAATTGAGCAGTCTTCCTGCCCCCACCTTTATCCTATTTTGATGAAGAAATTTCTATGGAAAGCCTTTGATGATTGAGGCAGTCTGGATGAGCACAAAATAACCGAGCCACCAGGAGGCACTTGTAGGTTCAAAACAGGAACTCCTTTATTGCCCGAACTCCCTCGAACGCCACCCACGCGGCCCTTAGGAACCACCAACCGGAAATCCCTCCTCCGGAACTTCCCCAACCAACACGAACTTCCCAGGAATCCCCGCGAGAACTCCAAAGTAGCCTGCGATGGGAGGCAGACAGCAGGGGGCTATATACAACTGAATACACAGCTTAACTTAACCATTATCATCTCAATGGCTCGCTGGCAGTCACCTCTCAACCACTCCCTCTGGCAAAATGCTAGGCGTCATTCCGACTTGACTGTGGCCCTCAACAGAAGATTTCACATATAAGTAAAGCAAATGTAGGCTCCTTTCTTTGTTAGAAGGTGGACCTGGTTGGTCAGCTTGCCCATCCTGCCCTCATTTTTAAAACTACTTTCGGTGTTACATGGTTACTTCGCCATTCTA